TGGAAAACCCATTAGTTGGCAAAAAGTTAAAGTCCTAACATCCAAGCAAAATGCACCAAAGATTGATAGCTGGGGATTAGTGGTCCAGCAGCCACTTTTCAGCCAAATCAGAGCCAAATCATCATACATTCCTTTTTCACACGCACCGACACAATGCAAGCTCGCGAGCTCACCCCTCCTGTAGCCTATCTGCGGAAATTTGCTGAAAGGACTACAGGTACCAGCTTTCTGTGAGCAAGATCTGAAGGTTCAGATTTCCAATACGCAGCTGAACCAACCTGCCAGTCACGGTCACACCCCGTTCCTCTCCTTACTGTAGCGACCAATGGGTCCATTGTGATGTGTGAAAAGCACTGCCCCACGAGGCATTATCTTATTGAGTCCTACATGGTTTCATCACGCAAACATCATCATGCTGAACAGAAACGAAACTTCTGTCATTGTCAACCGAACAGTATGGTTATATGGGTGGATTGTGGCGTCCCTTGAGATTCCTTTTAGGTCCATCCGTGTAAATCCCTTTAAGTTTACATTTGTGTTGTTCTGGTTGGTTCTTCCTTGGGGCTTCCTTTGGCTTGTCTTTGAGTTGGTCCTTTGATTATCCCGCACATCCATCACAAAAGGGGCTTCTTCCCTTCGACACAACGCAGCGGATCGAGCCGCTAGTCCCATGCTTGGCAGGACTTAGACCACCTGCAAAAGCAAACAAGTTACCTTGCTAATTAAGAGGAAAAAGGAAGGTGGTTGCAAAATAGACTCTACGAACTGTTCAAACCCAACACCCCCAACACCCGAACGACATGACACGCGTGATTTTATCAAAATTAGGGGACTGGTGCTTGGTTTCCTCTTGGTTTCCCTTGCAATCTACAAACAACCTATCCCTATTGAGTGTGCCCCATCAAGTTGCCACAAGCCCCCATCATGTCAATCGCTGAACCCCAGGGCGCTTCCCCTACTTTAAGAGTTTCCGAGGCTGGACTCGTGGCGATACCCAACCAGGTCCTCCAGTAGAGAGGTTAGAATAAGGGTACCCTTTTTCATGTAGTCTATTTTAGTAAAGGAACCCTCCCCCAACACAGAAACAGTCAAAGGGCACCGGGGAACCTCGCCAAACCCCGGGCAACGGCTTCGTCGGGCGGGCGGTTGCGCGGTCGGGCGCCCGGGCTCCACGATGGCCGCCGCGGCGTCGCGGCGCAGCGCGCCCCCCGCCGCTTCGAAGGCCGCGAGGTCCGCGGGCCCCGCCCAGGCGGCCAACACCAGCGGCGCGCTTGGCCCGGGCGCGGAAGGCCCCACCGCGATGGCCGGGACCTGAACCGGGGCCATTTGGGGGATTTCAGCTAGAAGAACCCCCCCAAAAATATGATATGATGTGTATATATATATATATATATATATTATTATATGATTGGAGACCGCGGGGAAAGCAGGAATTTGTGTCCATCAACCACTTCTAAGGTGTTTTTTTTCTATTAAAAATCACAGCCATGTATGTTAAGAAGGCACCCCTTGTCGCACAGGGCTCAAAGGCTGGCTGTGCCGGGGATTTGAAGGACAACAAAAGACAAGAAAGCAACAAGGAGAATATGGAGGACCTAGATGCAACCAGTTGCCCGAAAGGGTAGAAGAAGAATTGGCACCATTCCTTTTGGTTGATTCCATCTGGGATACCCACAAAGCACAAAGGTTGCCACTGAACAAGTGGGTTTGCCTGAGATTCAGTCTCCATTGCCCATCCCCTGTGCTCTCTCCTGGGAAAAAGGCTGGGAGTCAAGGAAACCATAGATCCCAACACGTCGCTTGCTAGAGGCCCATTCTCCTTTCAAAAAAGAAAGCTTTGGTGAGGTCACTCATTGTTGTTTCGCATAACCCCCCCCTTCCCCCAAGTGGTAGGTTAAAGAGAAACAGTTCCTGACTTGCAGAACACCCAGAAACAGCCATGATCTTGGCCCCAGCCTTACCAACAAGCCCCCACCCTCTTGTGGAGAGATCGAACGGGAGTGTGAATCAACAGGCAAAAGAACGATCAAGCTATGTTTGGGACCCATTCGACGTGGGGACAACTGTCCTCATCCAACTGTTCCCAGAGTAACTCTTCCCAAGGCTCAAGGGAACAGTCCCCGCTGGCATTGAACTCAACTCCGGCCAATTGTCGGGTTGAAGTCTCGATTTCGGAGCCCTCGCACAAAAAAGCGACACAGGTTTGCTTTGGAACTCGACTTCAGTCCCCGGAAAGGTGCGCCCTAGCCAGCCTTTTGTCTTGCTGATTGCAAGAATTCCGGGGCTGCAACTGGGCCAGTCTTGTGGTGCAACCCAGAACCCCCTGCATGCGACTCCTCACAACCTGCAAGAAAAGACCCCAGACCAACAAACAATAGAGGGACACAAAAGTGTTCATGGTTCTTCCCTGCTTTGACACAATCTCACATGCCAAGACCAGTGCAGAGCTTGGCTTCAAGGCCTCTCTCTCTCTCTCCTCCTATGATTCGGCATTTAAAAAGGTGCCAGAAGTAAGCCCAATGACCAAAGGCACCCAAGCCTAAACTCCGGGATGACACGAACTTATCAGCTCCCAGTCTCCAACGTGGTAGTTTTCTACTCCAGCAGATCCCTCTCTTCCTGAGCGGACTTGCACAAAAAACAGTTCACACTTTTTGTTCGCACTAAATTGGTCTTCCCCAAAAGTTCAAAGTCATTCAAAGATACATGGGTATGGGTCAAAATTAAAACCACCGGGGCACCACAGGCTTTAGTCCATGCTTCCATTTACAAGGGTTCCATTTTTACACCTATTTTGGACCCACAGCCACATGGCCATGGGTCAAAATATGTCAAAATCCCGTACCCCCAGTGAACATCCCAATCCCCACAAAAAAAGACTAAAATGGGTGGTGCACCTACCCCAAAATGGGATGCCATTGGTTTTGACCCACAGCCATTGTGGACCCACAGACACATAACACCCTCCATCTGCTTAAGTCCCCTGGAAATAAACATATTTCCAGTAGTGATAGATTCCCTTCAAAGTCAACAGGGGAAAATGTCAAAAAATATTCTTCACCAAATGGAAGACACCGGGGAGTGAGGCGCTTCAACCGGCCAGCGCGCAACTCACCGAGCCGCCGCATCCAGCTTCCCCGCAAGCCGCAGGAACTTGGCGAGGACCTGCGCGCGCTCCTCGCTGCGGTAGGAGTCCGTCACCAGCAGCCTCCGTCGAAATGGCCAGGGGAAATCAAAAGGACAACTGGCCGTGTCTTTTCTGGGCTGCCCTCAGATCCACCGCTAAAAGTTTAACTTTTAGTGACCTCCATGCTGCCCGGTTAGCTCGCCGGCCTGTCTATGTGGGTTAAATGGAATCCCCACTATAGACACTAAAAGGCTAAAAAGCTAAGGGGATGGCTGCGAACCACCAAGCTTTTGGAGGGGTTTTAGAGCGGGTTCCTTAAAACCCAAGCAAAGGGGGATCGACATATCCAAATGGCGCTTTAAAACAAAACCCAAAAGCTTTAGGGAACTCCGGGAGGTCTCAACATCTGAGGACCATGGGGACCCAGGTTTGGCCGACGCTTCGCGGCAAACTTTGGATGGCGTCTCAGTAAATCGATTGGTGCAGTGTAAGCCATGATTGGCTCCAAGTCATGGTCAAATGGGAACTTGACCAGAGGCTTTTTGGCGAGAGCGAAGGGCCGTTTCGGGCAAAACTTGTGAAAGGGAACCCGCCCCCCCCAAAAAAAAAGCTGAGCGTGGAGACCTCCAGAAAACGGAGTAGTTGGCATGGATTTGGTGCAGTCACCCGCAAAACATGCAAAGCACCACCGGTACCGACAGTACCAACCGTACCAACAGTACATTACATTACCAGCAGGCGACCCATTGCAAAGTGCCGATATTCTGAGTGGCCAGCCATGCCCTTTCCCTTTCGGCTTTCGCGCCCTTTGCACCATCGCCTAGCCAGGCAAATGTCCCTCGCCCGTCTGGGGAAACGGGAAAAACAAGAGGACGGTTGGCAATCTACTGGCACCCATGGGAGAAACCAACAGGTGAGATGTGGTTGATTTGCAAAGGACACAGTGCCAGAATGCGCCTGAGATCCACTCGCGGCTCCATAAGCAGCGCGCTCAAGGCCCAGGTGTCGTCGATGTCGTCCCCGATGTCCGTGTCCACCACCACCCGCAGCTTCGAACTCGACGCCGCGGCCGCGGTGAGGGCTGCCAGAAGCCACGGCCCCATGGCGCCAAGGGGAGATGTGGACGGTTTCAGGGAACCGCGGCACGAAAAGACATGGCCCTGGAAGACGGTGTAGTGGAACCCAAAGGGGGCCCTATAAGGGGAGTTGTTGAAATGGACACTTGGCAGGCAGACTATAGAAACTAAAAAGCCGCATGTTGATGTTTGCTGGCTGATGCGTTTTCGGCAAGGAGAACTACCGTTTCGGTTGATAAGTCAGGCGTCGACATTACAGTCAACGCCACCACATGGAATGCTATCAGCTAAAGCAGAGAGGGCGCTCCACCCTGATCTCGAGCCAGGACGTGCCATGAGGATCCATGAGGGATCAGCTCGGCTGCCACTGGAAGTGTAGTCAAAGCATTCTACTTAAAAATACATGCTTCTCGCCTGCACCAGCACCTTGAAAAGTACTTGCCTTGTCAACCATCAGAACCCAAGTACTAACAACATCCCTGCCCCCGGTCCAACATCGGGAAATGCAGTCGTTGAGTGTTCTTGGTAGGCGTTTGTTACTTAAGGCAGATTCACATGGAAAATAGCGAAACTGTGTTCAATGAAATCTCCGGGGAGGAGGATCCAATCACCAGCTTCCATGCCAATTGGCCACAACTTCCTGCGGGGTTTGAAAATAGGAAGCACTAGTCCGGAATCTAAACAAAACACACCATGCAGTGTTGGTCGGTTCATGTTGGCTATTTGTTTGCGACGCGTCCGTTGAGTGGTGTGTCAATAACTTCCGCGCCACACGCCACACACTTCAAGGCACTGTCCTGCGCGCCGCGCAGCGACTCAAGCCCATCACCTTGGCGAAGTGAAAAACCAACGGAAAAGGTGAAAGGGAACTTTAGTGACTTGGTTGGACTCTTTGGCCGGATTTAGGAATGATTGTTCAGTAGACGTCCAGGTTGCTTGGCCCCCCAAAGTCCCTCATTCAGAGAGACATATGGGCATGATATGCAAGCGAAAAGGACCCTGTGGTGGACATCAGCAACACACAGAGATTGATGCCACCACCAAGCATTTTGGAGCGTGTTCCAACCGATAAAAACCCATGTAAGGATATTCGTGTATTACTAACTTGCTGACTGGACGATCCAACCAAACATGATCCCTTAACATGATGGAAGAAACCAAACCAACACAACGTCTGTAAAGTTTGCCAACTCAGACCAGTTTGAGTATGTGGTCACCAGTTCCTTGTGGCGTCCTTGAGGCAAACAAATCCACAGCCTGGGTTGCTGAGCATCCAGGATGTGAAGTCCGGAGCTCAAACAATGGGAACCCAATGTGAAAACTGTACCCGGACCATGGTTTGGCTTAGAAATCAAGCTTTCTTCAGCAGCATGGCATGTGGGTTTCTGTTTCTGTATGTCTGATCAGCTTAACTCTCCAGGCCCGAAAACGCCATGATTCTGGCATTCAGGTCCTGAAGATGTGGCTGGCATGGGCTTCAGACGCGCCCACCAAATCATAGTGGGCTCAGGTCGCCTCATTGAGGTCGTCATCAAACCACGCCCGTCTTGCAGGAACGACCAGACGGTTGCGCCCTTGGGCAACCAGTTCTTCAATCCCAGGCTTGGGGAGAAAGAAAGGGCACCCCCCCTGCGCCGAACTCAAGGGACAACTTCTGGGATAGACAAGCAACACCATTCCTCAGCAATGTGGCAAAAGAATCTTCCGCTTCTCCCCCTTGCTGTTTCAAACACGGCTGCGCCTTGTTCGCTATAAATTGGTTGCTTTCTGCTACAAGTTTAACTTTCAGTGGCTTAATGCACAACCCATTAGTTGGCAAAAAGTTCAAGTCCTGACGTCCGAGCAAATTGCACCAAAGATAAGCTTGTACTAGGTAAAGCCCGATCGAGTGGCTACTCGGATGCATTGGGTTCCATCGCGATGTTTATGTTACACGCCTCGCGCTGCGCGCTCTGAATGGGCGGCTCCGGACCGACCAAGTTTCAAGTCAGAAGCCAAAGGACAAATTCAGTGTCCTATTTTAGGCAGCACCCGCATGAAAGGCCTAAAAGCAAACCCTCCGAAAGGAAGCCAATCTTTCCAAGCTGGCTCATAAGCCTTGGGAGAATGTCGACCCTGGATCAAGCACTGCATCAAGAAATAGTGTGAAGGATCCGCTGTCAATGGGATCCCAATTCATCCACCAGACGCTTCGTCGCATATGGGGAGCCCTGAAACGCTCCCAAACACCCACGCGCGGCGGACGCCCGGAGCCTTTTTCTCGCGCCGCACACGCCGGCGGCCCCATAATGTAGGCCCTCGGATGCGCCCTCGGTACACCTGGCGCCAAGTGCTACACCCGGAAGTCCAAGTGTCAAACGGTGTGGTAAGTGATCTTCTTTGGGCCATGGGGCCGTACAGCCAGGTGTCCTGTGAGTAGTGACCTTTTGAGCTATCTTCTGGCCATTAGACAGCCATGGGTCCTGGAAGGGTTTTACTCCTTTGCGCCTGAGAAATGCTAAGACCTCCCCAATTTCACCTGAGGGGCCAAAAATGCCCGGGCCAGACATGCCCAAATGGGACCCTCACGCCCAAACTTGACCCTGGCGGGCAAAATTTCCCCATGTCCCGCGGGCGCGGCCCTCGCCTCGCGGGTTTGAGAGCTCGAAGAGCGGGCACCCGGTTCCGCAGTGCGGCGCCCAGGTGGACCTCCCGCGCGGTTTTCGGCGTTCCGAGGCGAAGGAAATCTCGGCCGGGGGACGCCTGGGAGGTCGTTTGGCGAGGTTCCGGCCATGGAGGGTGTTGCGTGTTAAAGGGAGTCTGGGTGTCATTTGGAGAAGGAGAGCTGGAAAATCGGTGTCGTTTGGAGAGGTCCCGGACTTGGAGGGTGTTGGCTCCTTGTTCGGGTATGTTCGGGTCACTCGGGAAACCGGAAGCCTTTTGCCTGGGCATGGCTAGAGGGGTTCAGTTCACCAAATCGCAAGCATATTTTGCCCACTTCCCCGCCTAGGGTTCTTCTGCCTCCCAAGCTTTCTCTGAGAAACCCTGTCATGAGTGGGGCACGATCACAGTGCAATGCTAATCAAATTGCTCGATGCAACTCTAACTCCGCGTTGCTTCGGCTTGGAGTGCGCGGTGAACCCAGCTTCCAAGACCCATGCTTCCAGTTCCGCTCTCAAGCGATGTCAGGCTCAGTGCATTTCACAGACTCCGCCATGCAATCACCGTGTCAGCCCAAACAACTTCACTTGTATCGACGGTGCTTGGAGCGTCCGCCCTGGCAAACTCTGCCTGGAGGCATTGGTGATCACTTACCAACACCAACTGAGCTACACTACCAACACCTCATATTCAGCGAGCCAAGCCAAAACCAGACAAGAAATACAAAGAAGGCGGCCATGCCTGTCTATGGTTGGGATTGTGCCGCACAAACCTTCCCCGGAGATTGATTGTGGCTCAACTGTCCCTGCAATTTCATGAGCCTTCCGAATATAGGGGTCCCGAAAACTGGCTACTTGTCTTATTCGTGGTTTCCATGTAAACGCCACAAGCGTATCCAATTTTACGACAACCCACGCGAAACTCCCAAACCCACTTTGCTACCCTGTTTGTGGCAGGCTTGGCAACAGGATCCCCGTAAATCTTCAAATAAGATCTTCTTAAAGGGCAACCCCGCGTGCACCACTAAACCAGTGTGCAACCTCCAATTGGGCTTGTGTCAAAACACGGGGACCCCCAAAGGGCTGGGTTCTCTTTTTGGTTTGCCCTTAAACCAACCCCAGAAACGGGGGGTTGCCCAAAGAACACACACCCAACCGGCCCGGCCCTCACCCGCCCTTTCAACACCATGCCTGTGAACGGAGGTCAGGCCCACATCTGAGCGCACCGTTGTGCGCTCGAAGTATCGCGCGATGATGCGGCCCCAAAGCTCCTTGGAGTCACTGCGGACTCGGGTGGAATCGAATCTATGCCCTTGGGTTCCGAACATCACTAATTCGAAGGGGGTTCATGTGAACACCAGCTGATATCATTTGCTTACCCAAGGAGCTTCATCATCTAAATTGGATCAACCATACGCACTACATTCCTTGAGGTTGACGCCTAGGGTATGGGTGGTACTCCTTAGCGGGTCGTTGATCCCTTGCTCAAAGATGAGCTAGAGGGATATGGTCGTGGAAACATGGACCAAAACTTGCGTAACCCCTCCTGGTTAATTTTGAGCCACACCCATAGGTCATAAACCCAAACGGCTATCGGTACGGCTGGGAATCGCCGAGATGCCCGAGAGATTTGTGCGGGGGACAGCCAAGGACAATTCCTGCTGGGAAGCTAAACGCGACTTACACCATCGAGACAGAAGTACCTTCAAACCGGTTCAGACCGATTCTCGAGTCTTGCCTAAGCCTTCAAAGCATTGCATGGGAAGGTGACAAGGGCAAGGGCGTCCACTCAGTCAAAAAGATCATGGAGACATGTCTGCTCCTAGGACAGAGCTGCTTGCCTAGGGCAACCAGCGTGCTGACAACCATAGGCTTTGTTTACGCAGGTAGACGGATCAGCGCAAGGCCACCCAAACACACTGGACTGAATGGGATGAATGGGAAATGCTCCTGGACTGAATGGGATGTCCACAGAGCAATGCTGCAAGCAGCGCGTGGCGCGGTGTTGGCTGACATGCAAAAGCTCACCTTCAACAACGCGGGTGCTGGTTTCTCCTTTTTGCTCACGACTCAGAATCCCCGCTGCCTCAATATACAGCACTGTCCAGTGACTTGATCAGACTGGGCCCCTGCATCATGTCGACAGCTTGTTGTTGGTCAATGCAGGATGGAGAACAAAAAGAACAAAACGTCTCGCCAAGTCAGAAATCCAGAGATCCCGAGCAAACTGGCTCAGCTTACCGCAAACCAAAGCAAAGGTTCGAGAGTGGCACTGGTGTCAATAGCTGGTGGAAAATGGGCCGGCTCAAGCCTTGGGTTGCTCAAGGTGGAGGCTTGGCCATTACATATTTCCAGACCCTCTGTTGATAAGTGGCCCCGTTTGTAGCAAGAGATCCTTTGGCTTGCAATGTTGGCAACGATCCAAACCATCAGCCGTCCACAAGTTGTGAAGGTGAAGGCTCTTTTGGATTGCAACTTGGACAAAAAACAGAAATCCAAAGAAATCAACCCCCAAGCCGTTTGAACCTTGCCGAGAGGCCATGTACTTTGGAAGCGACACAGAAGGCGCCAGCAGCACCCGAGTCCTACGATCCAAACTCGAGAAAACGTCACCTGCTCCCAAGAAAGGGGGCGATGTACAGTTAACCAGCCATGGAAAAATGGCCTTCTTGAACTTGGTGACCATTTGTGGATAACGGTAAATCAGGAGTTAAGGTTGGCCCTTCGAAGGCAAAAGGCTGTGTGGTATCACCAGGGCTCTGTGGCCTTTGACACGTAATCGAGACACAAGATTACACATTGCTTGACAGAAAAGCCTTGGATTATTGAAGCACTTACCCCATTTTGCTGGAAAATTGGACATTCACTAAACCACAAGTCCACAAGTTGTAGTCTTTTAGGACACTCCAACTATCGGGAGTCGTGCAACTCGCTCAAGACCTCTGCAAAATGTGACAAACTAAACCATGTATACCGTGAAAGCAATTTAGACACTTTGGCTTGTGTAGGCTTGCTGCTTTGTGCAAGGACCGGGACAGGAAAACGCAACAGTTTGAATAAGTACCCTCCCCCAAATAGTTTCCCTGCTCTCCAACTCAATGAAACTTGTCAAAGCCTCCAAAACTTGACTAAATTTGTAGTCCACACCGTTCCAACAGCTTCCAGGAAGTTCTTGTGAGCCAAATGCGGA